CTTATTGTGGTTTTAGTCTAGTCTGCTTGTGGGATCTGCTCGAGTTTTTGGTAGGGCTTTTGGGGTTTATGGTTCAGGCTTTGTGGTTCTTGCACAGGCACCACCACTTGGGTTCTTGCAGGCCGTGCTTGCCAAGCTTTAGTGCCTGACTTTTGGTGCATCGGCAGAGCCATGTGCAGTGTAGTGTGGCTTCAGCATCAAAGACTCTGAGATCAGGATCGTACTCTTCGGGTGCAGGGTTTAGGGCCGCACTGCAGTATGGGCGGTATTTGACAGGGTCCGAGTGCAGCGTACCCCTAAACCCTCAACCCCTAAACCCTAAACCCTCAACCATAAAGCCCTAAACCCTAAACCCCTAAACCCCTAAACCCCCAAACCCCTAAACCCCTAAACCCCTAAACCCGAACCCCTAGACCCCTAAACCCCTAAACCCCTAAAACCGAACCCCAAGACCCCAAACCCCTAAACCCGAACCCCTAGACCCCTAAACCCCTAAACCCCTAAACCCGAACCCCTAGACCCCTAAACCCTAAACCCCTAAACCCTAAAACCCCTAGACCCCTAAACCCTAGGCCCCTAGACCCCTAAACCCTAAACCCTAAATCCTAAACCCCAAACCCCTAAATCCTAAACCCCAAACCCCTAAACCCTAAACCCCGGATTACGCAGAGCACGCCAGAATCTAAGGTTGAACCCATGGGCCCCTAATATGGTCCCTTAAGGGTACATATAGGGTATATAGTAGGTATATAAGGGTCCCAGGGTTGAGGGCCCATACTAGGGGCCCATGGGTTCTACCTTAGACAGAAAGGGCGCAGAGTCGAGAGCAGCCCGAAATCACTCGGCGACTTCGGGCGGCAAAGGTCCGGGGATCGTCAGGGGGTTAAGGGGTTTAAGGGGTTTGGGGTTTAGGGTTTAGGGTTTAAGGTTCAGGGTTTAGGGTTTAGGGTTCAGGGTTTAGGGGTTTTAGGGTTTAGGGGTTTAGGGTTTAGGGGGGTCGTCAGGGTTTAATTCAGTGGTTTTAATAATTAGAATAGGGGTTTGGGGCCCTATATTGTAATTATTAATAAGGCGCGCCCAGAATAGTATTGGTCATTATGCGGGCCCCCACATTGGGCTTGTAATTCGGAGATGGAGCTTATCCTTAAAGCTGTGAACTGCGAACCCTAAATCCACAAACCATACCCCTTATCCTTCCTCATGCCTATAAGCCACATAACCCCCCAACAAAAAGCCCATGTAATGGCTTATGAGACCTCTCTGAATTCCAGGAAGCTCGGAGTAGCCTGGAAATTCCCAGCTAGATGATAGCACCTCTCGCAGCCATCATTTATGAAATCAAAACCTTGGAGAACTTTGTAAAACCCTCGTAGAGCCATGAGACTCCATCAAACCCAGCAAAAATCCTAAACTCTAAGCCCCACAACCCTAGAGCCCAGCATAGCCCACACTGAGGTCCAAGATGAAGAGCTCTGTGGCCGAGCAAGCAGAAATTGCAAGGCTCCAGCCGGTCGCCTTATCATATGGGAGTTTCCGATAACAAGGGGTCCTCATTTTGGGGTCCTTATAATAAGGATCCTACTAATTAGGGTACAATATTAGCCCCTAATTTTCGAAACCCCCATATTATAAGGTTGGAGGTTTACGGTTAAGGATCAAGATATGAGGTTTGGATCAGTACTTCCTTGTCAGTAGAGGCCTCATAGCATCCATAACCCACCAACCTACTGTGTAGGTAGCTGGGTCTCTGCGGCTCTAAGGCTCAGGGTTGAGCAGGTGGTTAGGTTTCTGGGCCTTGGCCCTGGGTTTTGAAGCAGGTCATGTCGAGCTTTATCGGATTCCCCTAAACCCTATAAACCCTAAACCTAAAACCCCAAACCCTAGTCGGATTCTGTAGAGCGGTGTTTGCGTATAGTTTTGTTGAGCTTATATGAACCTGGGATTCGGGGCTCTCCTAAACTTTAAACTCCCGCAAGGTTGGTAGAATAATGGCCCAACTCCTATAAAAAGGCTGCGGTTGTACATACATCTGGGGTGCGTTGCTCCAAGGTCGATACATAGCGAAGGTCAAAGAGGATAGGATCTCTAGGATCCAAGGTGCAGGGTTTGGGTTTAGGAATGAGGGTTAAACCCTAAATCCGAAACCAACCTAAAGCGTAAACCGTGATTCTGCATTTTGGGATTCCGTGGGCCGGTCTCCTGTGCCAGAATGTCATGCTTGAAACCCTAAACCCTAAACTTTGCCTAAACCGTGCTGAAGAGCGTGTGGTTTGGGTCTGCGCGGCACCATGGAAGCCTCCTCAGGTACGACTGTTGGCACGGTAGCCCCTTGTATAGTTGTACAGTTTAGGGTTTAGGGTTAGGGTTTAGGGTTTAGGGTTTGTACGCCATCAAACATTAAACCATCTAAGCCCTATAAACCTCCATAGCCCGAACCTCCCGAGCTCATGAAGAGCCGTGCCACACTCTTGGATGATCACAAGTTTGACCGGCAGTTAACTGAAGTGGTTCGGCAGCCGCGGTATCACGGATGTTTAGCAGAACTCCAGAGCAGAAATTAGGCTTCGCTGATGTCTTGCAAGATGAACGGTATAATATAACCTACTGATTGGTTAGGTCTGATGTTTCTACTTGTGCTCTGTATCCTTGCTTGACTGTGCCAGTGACTGGTATTACCAGTGATTGGGGTTGCAGATACTCTATAAGAGCGGGGTCAGAAGCTACTCTTTTGTAAGCTTGGGTTGTGCATAACTCGACATAAGAAAGTCTAAATTCGAAAAGTCACGGCCGTAGCAGCCTTTCCGTAGAACCTAAACCCGAAAACCTACGTGTAGCAACATTTGGAGGTAACACCTTACTTAAAGGATCATGGGACTTAGTAACTGAGGTTATAAATAAGGTAACTATACTTGTAATTACTGACTTATAGTTACTTATATCCCCAATTTAAGGTACTTATAACCCTACTGACTAAGTCCCAAGATTCTCCAAGTAGGGTCCTAGGGCCTTCCAACCCGAAACCCTCAGCCCTCACAGCGATCCAGAGGCCCTTGTTTGAGGATTTATGACTTTAGTCTTAGGCGCGTCAACCCGAACTTTTCTCAAGATCCCTTCATTACGGAATAGACTTCACTATATTATAGAAGGATCCCTAGTATGACTTGAGGTGAAAATTCCTAAATTGAGGGCCCTAAACCCTAAACCTCGTTCCTAAATTAAAGGAATATGGGAATGTCTGGAGAGTGAGGGGCTTTCGGGTTGTGGACTCCACGACAGCAAACCGGGCAGGGCGGCTCTGGAGACCGCCAAGAAGCAGTTTACGGAGCTTCTGGGGGAAGAGATGCGAGTTTCGGGTTTAGGGTTTAGGGGTCTAAGGCTTTGTGTTTAGGGTTTAACGGTTTGGAGTTTGGGGTTCAGGCTAAGGTTTATGTTATAGGGTTGGGGGTTGGGGGCCGTGGGCTTATGGCTTTGGCTGGGGGTTCTTGGGTTGAGGTATTTGGGTGTAGAGATCCAGTGTTTCGGTATAGGATAAATGGTTTAGGGGTCGTAGCGAGATACGCATAGAGGTAATCCGAGTGAGGCTTTCATAGGTGTTTGCTAGCCTCAGGGTCCATGTGCCCAAACAGTAGGGAGTCTTTTTGGCCAAAGTATATGCTATATGATTGAGTACATGGACCCTTAGGGCTATAGAGGCCTCAACAGTGTGTCTACGGCCTCACAGCAGGGCACAATTGCAATTTTTGTTATACTAACTAGTCTATAGGGATTTCCTACATTGCTATTGCTATGGTCTCTGGGGGACTGGGTTCACAAGCTCTAGAGTTGTACGCTTCTTGGTTGTGTGCTTTCGGGATGTACGGAAGGGAGGTTGAGGAGATCGAAGACTTGGAGGGATACCCTAGCAGGGTCCATATGGGTAGTTGTCAGAATTATGGTCCCTTTTGGGGTACCCTAAATAATAGGTGCCGTATTATAACAAGGACCCAAAAAGGGACCATAATTTTGACAACCACCCATATATACTACTCTTATTATGGAATTGGACCTCTGAATACCCCAGCTGGTTTCAGGACCAGGTTAGGTCTCTGGAGTTCGGTGGTCTGAGCTTCAAGGGGGTTAGGTCTCCGGTCCCCTGCACCGCTTGGACCTTAATGTATGGTGAAGATCGGATTTGCGCACAAGGTAAGAACGGTTCCTTGGATGGCTTGAAAGTGTCCAAGAGTTAATAACACTCAAGCTGAATTGTGGAGAACATAAAGCTTCAGCCGTAGAACCCAGGACCCTTGCCTTCTATAGTTTATAGTGTTTCAGAAAGTCGGGACTCGACCAACGTTGTGAAGCCCAGTTACCTATACCAGAGAGAGACTGGCTTGTCTACAATCTATTGGTATAGAGCTAACCCTAAACCCTTAATCCTAAACCATAACCCCTCAACCCCTAATCCTAAACCCTAAACCCTTAATCCTAAACCCTAAACCCTAAACCCTAAACCCTTAATCCTAAACCCTAAACCCTGTACCCTAAACACTGCAATGCAGGCAACCGAGGGCTTGAAGAGGCTTGCATATCTCCTAAAGCTCCACAGCGCAAAGTCTGGGACCATTTAAGGTGACCCTAAAACCCTAAAAACAGCAGATAACCCTAAGGGTTCATGTTCCCAAATAGTACATACTTAGGCCTTAATGTAGCCCCTATATGGTACTTTACGGTCAAAGTAGTTTCATATGGATACATGGACCCAAAAGATAGCCTCAAACAGGAACTCTCAGTTGAGCTCAGAGGTCGTGAAACATCTCAGTATGCAAAGCATGTGATTCGAGCCGCCTAAGGCCCGTGTCGAGCCCTAGTCGCCCCATGTCATTCTCCTGCCCGGCACCCGTCGAGTTGTGTCGAACACTGCCAAGACGGGCAAGCGTGTCGAAATCTCACACGGCGTTGAGAATGCTGAGAGCCACAAAGGCCTTTGGGTGCAGGCAGCCATTTTTAGGCTCGTCGACTTCATGAACGAGTTCAGCGTGCTCACACAAACTGTGCCAGTCATTGACGACATGTGGCGGTCCATCAACTCCTACGACCAGTTTCTCTCAATGATGGAAACAGCTATGGTGGAGGATTTCAAAGCCGAGGCGAAGATTGAAATCCCGTGCGTCTGGGGAGACTACAGTGAACAAACAACTCGTAATGGGCCGCTGTGCTGTCAGGAGGCCCAGATCAAGGATGCATTGAGAACGTTCTCAATCCCGATGGAAGCCGAAAAGATGATCATTGATTTTGCATCCTGCAGGTGCAAACCTTCGAGGATGGCTTGTTCGCTCGAGACTTGACCCAGCGCCAGTGTGACACTGAAAAGGAAGCATTTGCCAGTACTGCCCACACCAGCGGAGCTGCCTCCGGCAGAATGTGTTTTCACTGTGACTTGCATTTTTGGGGTTTGGTGTTGAGGGTTTAGCTGGATTGTTAACGTCACAGCACTGCATTACAGCAGCACTCGCCCCGCCCAACCTGCACTGCAGTATAGAGCCCTTCCAGACGAGACGTTTTCCCAATGAGTTTTGCCGAGCAAACCCATCTACAGGAGCAGCTCGCGTCGGAGTGCCACATGCGCGAGGTTCCCGCAGAGAGATGCTGATGGGTTCAGTCATAGAGATCACCCTTTGCCGAGGGTCTGAGCGCCCACATCGTGAAGATTTAGCTTTTAAGAACTGCTCAGAGTAACTATGGCTTTTTGGAGCCTAGCCATAGGCCCCATAGTAGTTCCCTTTTGGGATTCCCTAATAGGGTCCTAAATAGAAGCCCACAAAAAAAAGGAACTACTATGGGGCCTATGGGTAGCGCCATACAATTTCGGGTACTTGGACCCGGTTGCGGTGTGAAGATTTGGAATCTTTTGGTTGAAGCATGGTGCTGGAGAGAGAAATTGGTTTGAAGCCCAATTACCTACATATCCTAATATCTCCATACCCCAAACCCTAAGCCCTAAACCAATATAGCTTGGGCCCAAAGTACCTATATAAGGATAGGGATTACGCGGAATAGCTGACAGTCAGACATCTGGGCCGTGAGATGCCTGTCTAGGCTTCGTTGGTATTTGCAGGACCTGGACCTCACGAAACATCATAAGGTTTACTGTTTAGGGCTTCGGGGTGCTTCGAGGGTTTAGGGTGCGGTGTTTCCTGTTGAGGGCTTCGGGCTTCTATAGTAGGGTTTAGGGTTTGGTGTTTACTGTTTAGGGCTTCTAGTTTCTATAGGGTCTAGGGCTTATTTACGGTTTACTGTTTATGGATTGTGGGGCTTGTAGCATTTAGGGCCTTTGGGGTTCAGGGTTTTGTGTTGAGGGTTCCTAGGGTTTAGGGTTGAGGCTTTCTGTTTAGGGGCTGACCTACCGTTTTATAGGGTTTTAGCCTGTGTTCCGTAGGATCCAGGTATTGGGACTTTGGTGTGTGGAAAGCAGAAGCACTTTAACCTGCGTGGCATGGCTATTGGCAAGCGAAGGGGTCCAATTCAAACTCCATAGAACTCTGGAGGTCTTATAATACATAGTGCTATTATGGAATTATAGGTCCGCAAAACCATGGTAAGGACGGTCTTTCGGGACCCAGTTCGAGAATTGTGGTATATCTTGTCTACCATACGCCACTCAACCCAAGTTTTGTGGGGGGAGACCGTAGTTGAAGTTGTAAGCGCCCCGTAGATACCAAAAGAGCCTCCAGGCATTGAAACACACCTGCTTACGAAACGTAGAACCGCCAAAACCCCCGCAGAAACGATGCAAATACACTATAGGTCAAAGCCTTTCGATCGAGAAAATCTGTTTAAACTCAATAAAAAAAACTCAGCTTAAACAAATGCTCCGCATCGAACGGGTGCTAGTTTTGTCTTCAGCCTCTAGTTCATCCCTGAAGCCTAAACCCTGAACCCTAAACTTAAACAGTGGCTTGCCGGAAAAACAGGCAGTGACCTCCAAGCTGTCCGCGGCGCTGGAAGGCACGACGTTTCTGGCACCCGAGCGGTCGCCACCTAGAGACGTTAGGTACGGTTTGGGGTTCTCCTCTCCTCAGAAAAAAAGGTGGGTCGCGATGGCTGGATGGGTGGGCCGCGGCGACGGAGCTGGGCTCCCATTGGGCTTCCTTCATGTTTCTTTTCTGGGCGCTTGGGTTGGGCCAAGGCAAAGAGGCTGGGCTCCCATTTTGGCTCCCTTCATGGGTTCCTGGGTCGGGTGGGTGGGCCGCGGCGACGGGGTGGGTTCCATTGGTGGGTGGCTGCGGCCACAGGGTGGGCTCCCATTGGGCTCCCTTCATGTTTCCTTTCTGGGCGACGGGGTGGCTTCCATTGGGCTCCTTCATGGGTTGGATGGGTGGGCCACGGCAAAGAGGCTGGGCTGGTTTTTGGGTTCCCTTTATGTTTACTTTCTGGCCTCCCTGGTCGGATGGGTGGGCCGCGGCGACGGGGTGTTCTGGGAGACGGAGTGGGTTTCATTAGGCTTGGTTCATGTTTCCTTTCGGGGCTGCTTGGTCGGGTGGGTGGGCCGCGGCGACGTGGGCTCCCATTTAGCTCCCTGCATCATTGGGCGCCCCCGTTCATGTTTGCTTTCTGGGCTCTTGGGTTTGATGCGTGGGCACGGCAAAACGGCTGGGCTCCCAATTGCGTTGCCTTCATGTTTCCTTTCTGGTTTCCTGGGTCGGAGTGGTTACGCGGCCAAGACACTGGGCTCCCTTCCTTTTTCCTTTCTGGGCTCCATGGTCCGATGGGTGAGCCGTGGCGACGGGGTGGGCTCGCTCCCATTGGGCCCCCTTCATCACAGATGTCATCACCACCCAGTCTTCTTTTGTACAAGAATGCCTAAACATCTTTTTCGCAGCATCTGCTGGCGAAGACAGATTGGGTTCCAACACGTTCCAACCTGAACCGGCATGATTCGATGCATTCTGTTTGGGGTCTTCGCTGCATGGTGTAATTTGGGTTAGGGTTTAGGGCTTGGGGGTTCTTCTGAGGCTTCTGTAGACTCCAGGTTCATAAGCAGGCTTTCCTCAAGGGCCGTCATATTCGGATGCCTGCTAGAATCCCCCGCTTTTGGTGTAAGGTTGAGGAGCCCAGGGATGGCCAGAGCTGGTGACCAAGCACTGCAAATGGTAGAAGAGAGGAGTGCTCGGTGATCCTTTTTATATCAACACTTTGGGGGGAACGGCAGCTCATGCACCAGGTGCTCCAACCGCTGGGGATGAGCAATCCCGAGTGGAAACTCAAATCTTTTTGGAAGCTGGCGTCGAGATACCCGCACAGCATCATCTCGTGTCCTCTGAGAGTCTGAAGGTTCAGGCGAGGCTTGTTAATATAGGGGCCTTAGTAATTACCTATACTATTCTGGGGGTTCCTTATAACAATTATCGCGAAATGTACCCAAATCCCCATTCCAATTGTGAAGGCCCCTACATTACTTGGACTGTGGGGACTGCCCATTTTGCTTAAGGCTTAAGGTCTCCGGGCTATTGGGCCTTTGCATAGGAATCAGAGCTGGGGGGCTTGGGGCTTGGACACTTTATCCTTGAACCCCTAAACCCCGAAACCCTAAACCCTCGACCCTCCATCCGAAAACCCAGAACCGCTGGGCTCAGAGAAGACCTAGGCAAGGTTTGGGGTTTAGGGCTGGGACCCTATAAGCCCTGAACCCTAGACTCAGGTCTTTGACATGGGGTTCGGCCCCATGCAAGGGCTCTTCAACCCAAAGCCTGAAACCTTGAAATTTCTTCATCCTCAACCCCAAACCCTACGCATGTGTAGGAACCCAGTATAGAACCCTAGAAACGGTTTATGTAACCCGAACCCTTAGAATTTGCTGATAAACACACTCAGCGAACAAGTTGCCGCAATCAACGAAGAAGCCCGAACAACCGTATTGGGAAGAGCGAAAGGAATCGCAGAAATCCTACACCCCGAACTAAACCCGAAACCCCATACACTTGAAACCCGAACAGGCACTAAATTAAACCCTAACACCCTAAACCCTAAACCCCTAAAGCCCTAAACCGTTAAATTGAACCCTAAAGCCTCTCGCGCAGAACAGCGCGGCTCCTTGCTCAGTGCTGTGGAGCGCCTGGAGATGCTCGTCCGCAGCGCAGACCAGAGGCCGGTTTAGCTTTTACTGTCTGGTGCTTAGTAGGGAATGGGTGAATGGATCCCTATGATAGTCCCTTATTGTAGTCCCTATAACCCATTCCCCCATTCCCTACTAAGCACCAGACAGTTTAAGGGGGTCAGGGTTTGGGGCTTTTAGGGTTTAGGGTCTGTTTGATTTAGGGTTTAGGGTCTATAGGGTTTAGAGTTTAGGGTTTAGGGTCTAGGCTTCTAAGGGGTTCTATGGGTTTTAAGGGGTATGGGGTTTCTATAGTGATTCTATACGGTTTTGTAACGGATTGATGAGCGGCTTGTGGGTTTTATTCTCGGCTGAAGCAGGGCATCGTGATGATGACGGCTTCGGGTTTTAGAGATGCCGGATACTGGTTCTTAGTAGGGTTTAGGGTTTGGGACTTGGAAGTTTAAGAAAAGTGCACGGGTTGCGGCATAATTATGATGCTCTAACGACGCGAAAGGCATGCTCGGCATCACTGTGCCCTGAGCAGAAGTAAGTAATTCTGAAGTCCCTAACCCTCAAACCTCAACTCTCATCTCCCAAAGCCCTTAGTGTCCAAGACCCCTTGACATTTCAATGTTGGAGAGAAGGCAAAATTCGAGCACAGCCCCGTCAAGTCCGAAACCAACCAGAGAAGAACATGACGCCCTGGCACTAGTGACTATGTAAATCCCTCGGACCCCAAACTATGGGAATTATGGTATATTCCTTGCTATGGGTGATGCAGGGTTTATATAATCAACCGCTGCACTTCTAAGAGGCAAGTTTCAAAGCTCCTCATCAATGGATCCTCCGGAAGGAACGCTCCTTAAAAAAGGACCCTACGGGGAAACCTTTAGGGCGTCTTACTTTTTGAACACCTAAACCCTAAACTCCTAAACCTAAACTCTAAACCCTAAACCCTAAACCCTAAACCCCTAAACCTAAGCTCTAAACTTTAAAACCCTAAACCTAAACTCCAAACCCTAAACCCTAAAATCAAAATGCAGGTGGCAGGAAGACCTGGCCAGAGAGTTGAAGGCACGCGGCTTTGCGTAACGGGGGGGGCTTGGAGGGTTCCGGGTTTAGGGTTTTTTAGGTTTAGGGTTTTGTGGTTTAGGGTTTAAAGGTTTCAGGGTTTTTTGGGTTTGGGGTTTAGGGTTTGGGGTTTTTGGGTTTTTGGGTGTTGATTTTTTGGGTTTAGGGTTTCGGTTTTTG